GAGGGTTGGGGAGACGACTCCCTCCCCGGGCGGAGCGCCGGGCTTACCTCGGCCTCGTTTCCTGGGCCGTGGGTGCCGCGCCGGTTCCTTTCAGGTTGTCCCTCACACTCACACCCGCTCCGGCAGCGCTGCTTCGGGCCCGACCCGCCGCGTCCGCCATCGCGCATTCTGCCTGGAGCGCCACCGCGAGCTGCCGCTCCCGCGCGCCTGGGGCCTTCCCCCTCGGGCGTGGGAAAGGACCAGGCGCCCGGCGCTAGGCTAACCTTGCGACCCCTGCGCGCCGCCGAAGCGGTTGTTCGCTCCCAGTCAGAGAGAGAAGCCCGAGCCCACGTGGCCGGGATGCACGTTAATTTCACACCAAGTCTTCACCGGAATGGCGGGCTAGGCCTTTTCCGCAGCGTGGCTCCTTAATCGCTATCTCTTCGGAGACTTGAGGGGCGCCCTGACCGCACTCTGACCCTCACTCTTCTAGCGAAGTGACGTTTCCTCCTAACCGCTCACTTTCCCTCGAACAAAGTGTGACCCTCTCCGAAAAACTCTGACCCGGGTAGCGGGCTGTGTATACGATGTCTTGGGTCATACGAAGTGGGTTAGGAAGGGAGTTGAAACGAGGGAACTCTTCCTACCAGACAGTGAAGTTTACTTTCAGAGGCTTCCCGTTTCGCCCGGCGTGCTGTGACACGCCTGAAGTCCCAGCTCGAGAGGTAGAGGAATGAGGATCATTGCAAATTCGAGACCAGCCTGGTCTTCATAGTGGATTCAGGGATCCCCGGGGGTACACACTGCGAGACGCTATCTCAAAATGCTTTTAAAATGCTTCCTTTTAAGCACACCGAACGGTAAGAACGACACCAGACCCCACAGAGTTCTTCCGGTTTAGCCCTGTAACTGGAGCAGGTACCGGGATTGGCCACGTCTATGCCAAGGACGCGACAGCGCAGTAAGAGTGGAAGTTTCCACGTGAGACCACGCATCTCGCCGGTGTCAAGCCACGGAGCACTTAAGCGCGGAACGCAGTTGCAGTGGGTTCAGTTTTCCCGCAGGAGCCCGAGTCCACCCCCAGCCTTCCTTCTGCGCAGGCGCGGTGTCACTTACCCGGCATGGAAGTAGTGGGCCTCTTGTGTGCGGTGGCGGTGGCTGTCCTGACATGGGGCTTCCTCCGGGTTCGGGACTCGGCGGAACGAATGAGGTCTCCGGAGCAGGCGGGCCTGCCGGGAGCCGGAAGCCGGGCCCTTCTGGTGATCGCGCACCCGGACGATGAAGCCATGTTCTTTGCTCCCACGGTGCTAGGCTTGGCCCGCCTCGGGCTGCGGGTGTTCTTGCTCTGCTTCTCCGCAGGTAGGAGCCTGGTTAGGGAACTAACCGATCTCAATTACTTCTTCCTGAAAGGTTTTTTTTAGGTATAGCTAGGTGAATACACCCAAGGTCCTTTTCTTGTGCTTGTCGCTGGCTTGAGACAGAAACAGCCGGCTTCCCAGATAAGGTTGTAGAACCCCGAGCGAATCCCACTCTTCCCCAGCCAAATTGAGAAGCAGAAAAGTGGTTGCTCTTCTTTGGTTCCATTCAGTGCCTGCACGTTCCTTTGGGAACTGCGACTGTACTGAGTGCTTTGTTTTTTAAGACAGTCTCACTGCAGTCTAGCTGCCCCAGTACGGGGATTACAGATGTGAGCCGATGGATGTGCCTGACCTTTTATCCTGAGGAACCATCTATTTACAGAAGGATCAAATATAATCGTGCACCAAACAATCTGAGCTGTGTGGTATCTGCCCAGTCCACCAAGTTTCTTTCCTAATAACAGCAAAAGATGTTCCTGCTGCTTTGAAATCCATTGTGCGCTACGAAAATGTGTATGTCAGATTGGAAGTTACCTCAGGTGACTAGATAGAAACTACTTAAAATAAGACTTGTGTTATGGTACAAAACAAGAAAAAAATGACACTTAAGTACGATTATGATTGCACAACTTAAACTATACATACAGTGGGTGAATTTTATGATATATCAAATTATGCCTCAATAAAGTTGATTTTCAAAGTTGCCCATTATCTTTTTTCCCATGTAGTTTTGTGTCATTCCAGTTCTTCATATTTAAATAACAGATCTTTCACAGAAACCGCCATTTACACATTCTTTTCCTTAGCACCACTTTTTATTTACTTAGTATGTATTTAGTATATATTTATGCTAGACCTTATTCTAGATCACTCTCATCAGGATTGATTTATGCAATTGGCTGAATTTGGGAAAGCTGTTGGTTTTGAAACAGTGCCAATGCAGATTTATTAAGGAAAAGTGAGAAAGAATCCTGATAGTGAGGAGGCTCCAAGGAAGGCGTACTCTCTCTCTCTCTCTCTCTTTTTTTTTTATGATTTAATTTATGGGTGTTTGCCTGTATGCATGTGTGTGCACCGCATGTATGCCTGGTGCCCACAAAGACCAAAAGAATGTCAGGTTCCCTGGAACTGGAGTGATAGCCAGTGTGAGCCCCCATAACCGTGCTGGGAACTGAACTCTTGCTCTCTGGAAGAGCATGTAATGATAGAACCACTGAGACATCTCTCCTGCCCCTTTGTCTTATTAATGTTTTATACTACAATTATTAGAATTAGATTATATGCAAATTTGTTTCAAGATTTGCATCAAAGCCTGTATTTGTTTGCAAGACAATATGGGTGCAGTGTTCCTTTAATATTAATATTTAATATTTATATTTTATTGATTATTTTCAATAGGGCATAAAAGTTTGGGACCAGAAATCAATTCGTCTTTTTTTTTTTTTCTTCAGTTCTTAGGTTTGAGCTCAAGGTCTCAAACATGCTAGACACCTAGCCTCCCAAATCTTATTCTAATAAAGGATATAGGCATTCACTTAATAGTCAGTACTTCTGTTGTCTTTATTTCCTCTGAATCCAACTTGCCATTTTAAATTAGTCACTGTTGTAAAAAGCAAGAAAGTCAGCCGGGTGTGGTGGTGCACGCCTCCCAGTACTTGGGAGGCAGAGGCAGACGGATCTCTGTGAGCTCGAGGCCAGCCTAGTCTACAGCATGAGTTCCAGGACAGCCAAAAGTACAGAGAAACTGAACCCTGTCTTGAAGAATAAAAAACTAAAAAACAAAAAACAAAACAAAAAATTTGCATTACACTGCCTTGGGGCTGGAGCGATGACTCAGCAGTTAAGAGCACTGGCTGTTTTCCCAGAGAACCCAGGTTCAATTCCCAACACCCACGTGGCAGTTCACAACTGTCTGTAACTCCAGTTCCAGGCACCTGCATACCAAATGCACATAAAGTTAAGTAAATATTGGGGGAGGAAGCAAGAAAGTAGTGTTGTAGTCCTTAATACAGTTTAGTGAAAACTATCAATAAAATGGAGAAAGCACAGTGGGCAGGAAATTGAGAAAAGCATTCTCTTTTCAAATGGTTTCCTTAAAAGAAGGCTCTAAGGTTTCCTTTTGATCTGGGCTTGAAGAAAGAACACTATATAGGGAGCAGGGCTGATCCTGCTAGGCCCTACTAAATAAGCCTTGCACTTGTGCAAACAGCTTATCCCAATTACATCTTCAGTTCAAGGAGAAAGGAGAAGCAAGAAAAAGAAAAGGGTTTTGTTTTGGTGGTGGTGACTCAATTGTCCTCAGCCATCCTTTAGGACGACACTATTATTTCCATTTTACAAGTAGACACTGAATGACCGAGACTTTAACATGAAGGAGCCAAGGCCCTGTGGCCCAGCTCTGCTCTAAAACATTACTGTTTTAGGCTGCCCAGTCGCTTTGGTCTGTGTATCAGTTGATGAAATAGCTTAAACTGATTTCAAGAAACATTTCATCAAACTTATTTTTTATCTGTGGAGAGAGGAGCCTGCCTGTGCAGCCCACAGATGGTCCTCAGAAGACAACCTGCAGGCGTCAGTTCTCTCCTTCCACTTTAGAGCTCCCTGGGATCAAACTCAGGTCATCAGACTTGGCATCAAGTGCCTTTGCCCACTGAGCCATCTGTCTGGCCCCAAGCCACAATTTAAGAAATTTTTAAGAAGAGGGGGTGCTAGAGAGATTGGCTCAGCAGTTAAGAGGGCTTACTCCTCTTGTGGGGGACCTGAGTTTGATTCCCAACACAAACTTCAGGAGGCTTACAGCAGCCTATTTCTCTAGCTCCTAAGGATTCAGCACCCTCCTCTGGCCTCTACATGCACCTGAACCAGATGTACTATACCACCCCATGGCACACACATAGACAATTAAAACTAAAATTAAAGCTGGTCATGGGAGCATACACCTTTAATCCCAGCACAGGCAGCTGAGTTTGAGTCCAGCCTGATATACAAAGTGAGTTCTAGGACAAACCAGGCTACATAGGAAGACCCTGTCTCAAAAAAATAAAATCTTTTTAAAAGGGTATAGTTGCACATCTTTAATATCAGCACATGGGAGGGAGAGCAGGTGGATTTCTGAGTTCAAGACAAGCCTGGTTTACATAGAGCTTTCCAGGACAGCCAGGGTTACATAGAAAGACCCTTTCTCAAAAAAATAAAATAATAATCTGCCTGTTTTAGACAGTTCATTTTGATAGCTACGTGGAAATGGTTTGATAGAAAAGACTAGAACCATGGAATTCAACATTTCCCCTCTAGATTGTATCAATAGCTCATGTGGGATTGTATTCTACTGTATGTGTATATACTCTCTATACTCTTCTTATACTCAATCTGAGATACTGCTCCCCCCTCCCTATCTTGGAAAAACAAATGTGTGTGTGTGTGTGTGTGTGTGGTTTTTCAAGACAGGGTTTCTCTGTGTAGCCCCGGCTGTACTGGAACTCACTTTGTAGACCAGGCTGGCCTCAAACTCACAGAGACCCACCTGTCTCTGCCTTCTGAGTACTGGGATCAAAGGCGTGTGCCACCACTGCCTGGCTTGAAAAAGACAATTTTATTTGTACAGTTATTTTGTCTGTGTATATGTCTGTGTACCACTGCACGTGTTGTGCCCGCAGAGGTCAGAAGAGGGCATTAGATCCCCCAGAACCGGAGTTACAGATGATTGTGAGCCTCCATGTGAGTGCTAGGAACTGAACTCAGATCCTATGGAAGAGGTAAGTGCTCTTAACAGCTGAGTCATCTGTCCCATCCTGACATCTCTGTTTTAAGTACTGTAACTTTAAAAAGACATTTTTTTTCTGTGTGGCAGAGGTCAGAGGACAACCTTGTGGAGGGATTCTCTCCTTCCACTGTTACATGGATTCCAGGGTTCAAGCAGGTCACCAGGCTCAGGGCTTACTGCTAAGCTGTCTCACCAGCCAAATGACTGAAACTTTTATAGCACTGTTACCCAATATAATCAAACCTCTGATTGCTGCTGTTCAGAGCGTGCTCACTTGTTTGGGCTTTTTTTCCCCCTCCTAAATGAATAAATTTTTAGAATGAGGTTGGTCATATTCAAGAAGAACTTTACTGGTGTATTCCCCCATTGGAATTCCACTGACTTTGTGTCACAAGAGGACATATTTACAACATAAATTCTTTCTGGCTATCATTTTATGATGTCTCATTTATATTGGCCTTCTTTCATATCTGTTAAGAGTCTTGTTTGTTTCTGGTTTCTGTGCTGGGCTTGAGCCCAGGGCATTGAGCATGCTAAGCATGGATTCCACCACTGACCTACACCCCAGTCCTTTAGTATTGCAGTGTTATCTGGGCCAGGATCAAACTTGTGATTGCTCTGCTGGGCCTCTTGAGTAGCTGAGACTGTAGGCACATTCCACCATATCTGGCTGGTAATGGTGTTACATTTAGATCTTGCATATTGAGATGGTGTTTATACAATTCTGTCCTTCAATCTGTTTCTCCTGTTATAATCTCTGTTATGCTGTCATACTTGATATCTTAAATCATTTCTTTACTCAAATAAACCTCCTAATAACTCCCAATCTCAGTCGTTGTTATGTCTGATTTTGTTTTTTTCTTCCAACTTATTCTGGGTTTCTACATGTATGCGTTACAATTTTGGTTTGGTTTGATTTGGTTTGGTTTTTTTCGAGACAGGGTTTCTCTAAAAACCTGAAACTAGCTCTTGTAGACCAGGCTGGCCTCGAACTCACAGACATCCACCTGCCTCTGCCTCCTGAGTGCTGGGATTAAAGGCGTGCACCACCACCACCCTGCATGATTCTCTTTTTCTAATATTTATTTTGTATGTGTGGGTAGGTGGTGTTTGTTTAGGTAGTATACGTGCACATGTATGTGCTGATAATACACATGCAGAGACCAGAGGAGGACAGCAAGTATTCTGTTTTATAACTCTGCCTCATTCCTCTTGAGACAAGGTCTCTCACTGAACCT